TTATAGCAAGTGTACGGAATTTAGTTATGACTTCATGATTAGTTAGTAATAAATATTATATAATGAAATAAATAAATACAAAATATAGAATTTGTCCAACAAGTATATAAATATAAATTTTATCAATGGTGAAAGGTATAAAAGGTATTTTATTTTAAATTACTCTTTCAAAGAGCATTAAATGCTTATTTATTTATTCTATTTAAAAGTAGGATATTTCGTTATAAAATACATAAGAAAAATAATATGTCCCCTATAAATAAGCCGTCCATCACCAAGCCTATTGTAAAACTATAACCCAGAGAAATTTTAAATCAATAATTTAATCCTTCAATATAAGTGCCAATCAACACTCGTCAAACAATTAATTAATTAGTTAATTAATTTATGTCTATGTTTAATTGGCATTTTAGCACAGAGACAAGTTAGTGGGATGAAAGAAGTAATTAGTACATCAGTATGAACATGAGTTATCATAGATTAGGCTCTATAGCCATTCATGTGGCATAAAAGCATCCAAAATCGAAGGTTATGGCGAGATAAAAGGCGTAACATGTGAACCTGTGATTTGGTGTATGAATTTGGAGTATGTTCCGAAATCTTAGCTTTATATGAATAATAATTTTCTTTTCTGAAAGATATTATGGATCTTCACTTTTATTATTTTTGACGTCACTACAAAAAAAAATAAATATGAGAGTTTATTAAATACGTTATTTTTAAATAAGTTTATAGCTACAAACTTAACAATCAATTTTGCTTTACAATCTATTTGAGTAATCTTACATTGACATAATTTATCCTATTAAATACGTTATTTTTAAATAAATATGAGAGTTTATTACGAGTATGAAATATGACATTCCACACGTAAAGTATACTTACAACAGTGATTGTGGTAACTTTGAACTTCATAACGTTTAATTCTAAGTGTTCTAAGTGTTCACGGGTTAACCTTCAGAATAGCTAAGGAAATTGAATAATGTTCTATGCAATTCCTTAAAGTTAACGATTGGAATCGCGTTTCTAATAATCAAAACATGATCCTAAACTTGACAAATAAATTAATATAGTATTAAAAAATTAGTGAAATACTATTTTTATTAACACCAATTATTCCATCATTCATATTTCTTTTTAAAAGAGAATATCAACATAATTAATTGTTATTTAGAGTTTAAACACTTAATGCCAATTAAGTACTGAAAGTCGTATATATATATAATAGTTTTTAACTATATATGTGTTGCCGAATAAATTAGTGGAAACATCACAATGTTTTGCTGCATACTAGATTATCAAATAAATGGGAATTAAGATTTTTAATTTAATCACTAAATTAGATTTGTTTCTTATTAAATTAAAATTAAATTATTTAACAGTAGTTATATAATTCTTAAAAGTGGAAAATTTGAATATAATCTCTTTTATTGGAAATACAATTTCTGGCTGTAAATTTTTTTAAAAAATACCAATTTAATGACAATTTTGGTCAGAAATTAATTTTTGACATCTATACTTATATTAAAGGGGGTACTATTTACCAAATTAAGTAGCCAGAAAAGTCAACAGCATTTATTGCATTGCTATTTCCGTATTATATTATATAAAAGGATATTCTATTTACTACATTTATTATCCAGAAAATTCAACTGCATTAAATGTCATTACTATTTTGGTATTATAATATTTTATTTATTTATTTGATTTATTTATAATTTTATTTTAAAAAAGTAAGTATAATAAAAAGATTTTAATAATAAAAAAATTAAATACCAAATAAAAATGTACACTTTGACTTATTTGATTATATTTGGTATTTGATTATACCAAATATATTCCTAGTTAGTATATACATTAAATACTTACTAAAGTACTTATTTGTTTTATTTGTCAAAGTTAAGTATAGATTTGTTTATATTATCAAATCATAAAAAATATTAAATCCATATTGTAAAAAAAAAAATCATATAATTTTATAACAATTCTACTACACTATTTAACAATATTCCTTTTTTATTATATAATAAAATAATAATTAAATATTATATGGTGAACAACAATAAGTAAAATTGTTACTTTCTTTATATCAAGGGATAAATTTATATGCTAAAATTAAATTTTTATTAGTATAAATGTTTTAGTGAGATAATATATTAATTATTTTACAAGTTAGCCCTAACATGCTCATATTTAATGTTTTAAAAGATGTAGAAAAAAAACTTATAATAACTCTATTGTTTTTTAGACTTAAACGTTGATTAAAAGAGGTAAAAATTCCTAATCTTTTAGACTTAAACGTTGATTAACACCATAGATTGAGAGTTTATATTTAGTAAAATTCCTAATTGTAATAAAAAAATTAATTTTTGCTATATTTTAGAATATCTTTAAATTCATTATAAAAAAAAAGAAAAAAAAACTACAATGAAAAAAACAAGTCAGCTATATATCGATTTGTTGTACTGCTCAAATCACATTCACAATTTGGCTACAAGGAAATGAAATTCATTGATTAAAATATTATTTTGTCAGTAGTCTTAATGTACAAGAGACTTTAAGACTCCACTTGAATATTATAAAAATTTTATTGAACATCGTACAATTTCTTGCGTATTATTATAATATAATATTCTCCAAATAAATATATCTCGCAGGTCACGTACTATATATATTCCGTACATTTTTCTTTATTCGTGTATATAATTATAAGTCTGGATAAATAGCCTTAAAATTGTGCACCCCGTGCATCGCACGGGCTCTGTACTAGTGAGATTGAATAGGACGTGTGTGCTTATGACATGCCAATTTTTTGAAAGATTTTTCATTCGATGTTGATACTAGCAATGTGCACATACGCATGCCAAATTTGTGTTTCAACTAGGGCTGAGCATGGGACTCGGAGAATTCCGAACCGTTTCGAAAACCGAACACCGAAAAATAATCGTTGACTATTTGACTTTCTCCGAACCGAACCGAACCGAAAAAATAATTGGTACGGTTCTGGAGATTTCACAAATATCCGAACCGAGAACCGAACCGAACCGTCCCCTACCGTACCGAACCGAAGAACCGAAATTAAGAACCGAATTATTAAAATAGATGTGTGATATTAATATATTTTATGTCAACTTTGATCCTATATAATTTGAAAAATTGTAAAATGGAAATAAAATATAGTTATAACAATTAAGCTTTACTTAAATGTCATGCTTAGTAATACTTGAGATCTACAATTGAATTTTAAGAAAAAAATATTTTTAATGATATGAAAGATTAAAGAAATATTTTTTAAAAAAAAAATATTTGAACATTACTTAAATTTGTCGATACTAGTCTTATTCAATCTTATATCTAACATGGTATGGAAGATTAAAGAAATATTACTTTAATAAAAAAACTATACTACATTTTGTTTGAATTTTGAATTTGCAATGTAAGTTGCACAAATTTAGTTTTAACTAAAATTTAGAGTTATTTCTCCAGTTGATTTAAAAATAAAATTTTTAGTATAATAAAGTATTGATGAATGTTGGATTTAAAAAAAAAAAGAATATAAAAATTGAAATACAACTAGGTGACCATTTAAAAAAGATTAAAATAATTAGAAATCTCCGAATATCTGAACCGAACCGAACCGATACGAACCGTTCCGATAGTCCCAATAACCGAACCGAATCGAACTGCTTTTTTGGTACGGTTCCGAGATTGAGTTTTAGTAATCTCTGAACTTCGGTACGGTTCCGAAGATTTGTCAATCTCCGAACCGTACCGTACCGACCCATGCTCATCCCTAGTTTCAACCAAAATAATACGTATGCATCCCACTATATTTAAGTTGAAATTTGGGTTTTCAACCAAAATAAGTCAAAATTATCTTCCAACTGGTAAGGTTTTAAGAAAAAAAGTATCTTATCAAATGCTCTAATTAGTTAATTTTAAAAATAAGACGATTTTCCCAAGTACATATCAATAATAGCTATAATTAATTGTATATAAACCCTTGTAAACAACTCATAGCAAGTTGTTCCACATATAATATGTACCTATCCGAAAAGTGAAGCCAAACGAAACTGTGCTGTCGTTATCCTTACTTGACACAAGAACTTATTCCAAATTCTTACTTCTGTGTGTCACTCACAAAAAACCATTTCTTAAGTTAATTAAGTCACCTAATCAAACCGACCCAATTAGTATACCAAACTTAGGATGTGGATACTTAATTCACTTTCAAATTATATACATAATTACCTTATCAAACGAGTGCGGAACAAGTTAACAATGAACGCGTCACTCTTTAGAAATTCTATTAGTTTGGTAAAATCTAAGTCACTAGTTAACAATGAGCTTGTAACTCTTTAATTAATTTGGTGACCCACCTTACTCTTTCATTTTATTTTGTTTATCTAAATCCATATTTCATAACTAACCGGCTCCACTCTTCAACTTGTAAATGATCCCAGTTCGAGCTCGAGATACAAAAGCTCGAGCTCGAGTCTTTGAAGAGCCAGTAAAAAAACTCGAGTTCTGCTCGTTTATTAATATTAATGAGTTAAACTAAAGTCTTGATGAGCCGAACACTAGAAAATTATATAAGAATTCTATTTTTCAAGATTTAAAGACTTGAACTATAGAAATTATATAGAAAATTTACTTTTCGAGCCTTAATAAGCTCAAACACAACTCCCTTATCAAACGAGCCAAGCCAAACTCGAGCCTCAGCCGAGCTGAATTGAACCCACAAACGACTCGTTTCGTTTAACAGCTTATTCTTTCCAGAAGAATTAGAATGGTATATGCACAAACTACACGCACAAAAATAAACTAAAACAAAATAAATATAATTAATGAACCCATTATATTACATGGACTTAAGAACATGAATAAATAATGTTACAATTTCATTATTCACAATTATCTCGGTGAAAATAATAATAATAATAATAATAATAAAGGCAAACCAATAATAATATTATAGAAAATAATTAAATAACAAGTAGCTAATAATGGCAGTCAACGAGCGGCGAGGCGGAGAACACCAAAACTTGTTCTTTGCCCGCAAAAGCGAACTTGTCGGACTCCACGTCATCCTCCGGCGCCGGAAGATTAAGGTCCAACGACAGCAAATTCCTCGACCTCTTTACTTCTCGAGCCCCAACTCCACCGCCCTGAGCCGCCACCGCCGCCGCCGCCGCCGCCGGAAGAATCGGCCTGTGCCGCCGCATGTGGCCACCCAGTGCCTGACCGGAGGCGAATTCAGCCCCACAAATCGCGCACTCGTGGATCCTCGCCTTGCTCGAGACCTGAAGCGTTAAATTGACTGGCCTCTCACCACAGCCGTCCGATCGGAATTCATCACTCGGCCTTTTTTCATCTCCGGCAGGTACGGGCCGGCTTCCGGGCTTTTTATGGCTGGCCCGGTGGCCCCCCAGCGCTTGAAAAGAGGAGAAGCTTTTATCGCACGTCTTGCACTGGTAGACCTCCGCCGCCGTTTCCGCCGCCGGAAGTGAGCCCTTGGCCAGGAGGATCAAGCAGTTGGCCATGTCTTCTTCTTCCTCCTCCACCGTGCTTTGTGGGAAGTCGTCTGAGTTGGACGGTGATGGGATTACGGGCTCGGAATTACGCGGCCGTTTGCTGCGTTTTCCTTTGATCCCGATTAGTACTTCTTCTTGAGCGAGCATAATTTGTCAATTACTTTTTTTGTTTTTATGAAAAAGGAAATTTGTTGGGAGTGATGAAGGGAAAAAACAAACAAGGTAAAAGGAGAATGGGAAGAGCTATAAATAGAAATAAGTGGATCGATCGGGAAAGTGTAAAACTGGAAAAAGGGGCAACTCGTGAAAATGTTTAGATTAAATGATGATCGTCTTTTCGTTTGGTTGTACTTTAATTTGGACGTTGGGACTTAACGTGTGTGTGTGAGTGTTTATATATATTTGTGAGTTGTGTGAGTGCTTACATAGGAAGGTTGAACAAGTGGGATACGTGAGCTAGATTTAACATCAACATGTATTTGCACAAGTTGAAACATTTCAACCTACTGGACCAGTTATCGGATTTTTATATTGTATATTCGTATAGATATATGTGTGCATGTATTGATCTAACGATAACAAACTCGGTAATTGCAATTATATATAAATCATCACAATTGATTGCAATTATTATTTTTAGTAAATTAGAGAAATAGTATAAAGTTAGGAAATAAAAATCTAATATACATTAATGAGTGTGTTACGTTGGGTTGCTTAATTATTAAAGTACTGTATTTTTACGATAAATTTACATATCTTTATAATTTTTAAATCGACATAAATAAAAGTATAATATTTCATATAAATATATTTTTATTTTTCATTGAAATATAATAGTCTGATCGTTAGACCTTGTGGGACTAACATGTTTGTTCTAAATAAGGTCGAAGGTGTTGATATGTCATGAATACTATTATAGAAATTCATCTTGATTTATATCGAATTACAATTTACAATTAATAATGACTTACAAGATCTTTTTGTGTAAAATGAGATTGGGAAAGACTAAAGAGAAAATTTTCACTATTCCACACCAAATAAAAAGAAAATTTTGAATAAAATTGCGTCATTATAACTTTTAGGATGCAAATTAATTAATCAATTTTTTATTTTTTTTTTTCAAAGTAAAAAAGTAGAAGTGGGCGGTGGGGGCATAAATGTAAGAGTGTGAGAGCGGGTGAAAAATGAGAATCGGTTGGCTTTGAAGCAAAGGGCATTACTTTTTGGGAAGGAATCGTTGCGGGGGAGAATTAGAGTGCAAGGCTGGCACTCACACACCCACACCACACCACACCACACAACACACACACTCTTTTATTTTAATAATATATTTAAATTTAACTTTATTTAATATTAAATTTTGTCATGTACCTCTCCATCACATTCCCATTATTTATTTTATCCTTGCTTCCAACCAATAACACTACGTATATACAAATTTATTTCGCATCTGTTTCTTCTTTTTTATTTTCTCTATTTTATGATTTTGCATTGGGAAAAGTCTTCGGTTAGATAATACTTAATCACTAGCAAGCTAGTTGTAATTAAATTGAACGTGACTTCAATGAATTCAACTAATCATTTATCATTGTACCAAAGTCAGAGTAAGTTATCAGTGGTTATAACATATGATTAGAGTTAGGGCAACATTATTTTTAGATTTTAAATTTATACCAAATAACTAGTTCGGAGTACGGGTGAAAAATATATATATATATATTAGTAGTTACTTGTTTATAGAGATTTAAAACGAATCTAGTCACTCGTGGATTTGATTTGTTTGATAATTGATTTGAGCTCGACTCATCAAGTTCAAGAAATAAAACTTCTACATAATTTCATATGTTATAAGTTAAATCAAGTCGTTAAAGGTGGAGTTCGACTCGTTTATTTTGATAAACGAGCCACACTCGAAGTCATTTATTAGTCCGTTAGTTAATAAGTTCACTTATTTCAATAAAACCTCCAGTCGGCTAGTTTACCAATGCATTTAGTAAGAAAAGTTTAAATACTTTCTGATCTTGACAGTTTGGTCTTAATTAATTAAGAAGGGAAGGGAATACGTCATTTGTGCAGTTGTAAATTGTAATGCACATATGTATATACAATAATTATTAAGTATATTTAGTTTCCGCCTTAGTCATTACACTATTACAACTAATTTAGAATTGGCCTAGCTATTCTTAATTTTTAATTAAAACTAATAAATTTTATGTAAGTCCTCAGTACATAATCTTGCTTAACATTTTTTGGGTCATTTAAAGTTTAATTAAATTAAATATATGCAGAATGTGAAGTGAAAGCATAACAATAGATGAATCTAACATACAAGATTGGTGCTCTTCCAGCTATCAAATAAAATAATGTTCATTGAAAATATGCAATTTAATGTGGTTGGAATGAAAATTGTAAGAACTATCGATACTAAATTATAATTACATTACTCCCGAGACTTGAAGTTTGTAAATTTGTGGTCGCAACTTTACTTTTTTTATTTATCTACTTAAAATTGTATTTCATATCTTTACATATTAAAATAAATGTGCACCTTTTTCTAATATTATATAAAACCCAATTTCTTTACCTGAATATATATACTATATTGACTTGCCAAGTGATGGACTGTACGTGCTAACTGGATTGGGACACTATCTACTGCCGGCTGTATGTAATGTGTATGATTAAATAACAACTTAATAAATTACTAATGATTGATTTTACCCAAATGATTAGAGTTGGTAAAGCGTGGAATAATGGCACGTTCCCGTTTAATTAATACATGGAAAAAGAATATCAATTATTTGGCAAATATTGTATATTATAATTTCTCAAGATTCACACTGGGTTTTGTACATTCATCAAATTTGCGTCAATACTCAATACATGAAGAATTGTAGTATGTTAGGTTCACATAAGTTTACTCATAAAAGTAATCATATAAGCTTCTTTACATGGCTTTAAAATATATAAATGAAAATTTTATTCCAATTGATTTTAACCGAATACTTATTATAAACTATATATCAGTCATCAATCATAAGTTATTCGAAATTCTTTATAAACTATCATCTATTAACTAAATTTTTCGCTAAAATTACTAAATTGTTAATCAAACGGTCGTGAATTTTGAGTTTATAGCTACTAGTTTATCGATGATGGCTGAAAAGCTAGTTGAAATAATAAGTGTATGATAAAATTAATTAATATCAGTTCAAATGAAAATTTTTGTGAAATAACTTCGAGCTTTTGTGAAAAATTCATTCTACTAAACTCAATTTATTTAAATATAAAAAACATAAAAGGTAATTAAATTAATTATAATCTAGGTTATGGTACTTCTTATCAATCATAATCGTAATTTAAATCAAATTTTATATTTAGATAAAATAAAAATAAAAATAAAGAACGCCAAACAAACTATAATGTGCACCGAGATTGTTGGCGGCACGGTATAAAGCATGTTCCAAAATTTTTATACATTTTTATTTATATTGATTAACTTATAAAATTATAAAATCTTTTGCGTAGAGCAAAGAGAGTGATTCTTGGCGTAGGTTTAGATTATACGTATAGTGTAAGAATTTGCGAGGGGCACGTATGCTGTATAATAATATTTTTGCCAGCCTACAGTATAATTAAGGTGGAGTACAATTTTTCTTATTCCTTTTTTCTTTAAAAAGAAATCAAATATAATTAGTACTAATATCAATTACGAGACCATTTATGATTATTATAAATTATAATTAGTCTTTTAACCATCTTTCTGTATTTTTGCACTTGCTCTCTGTGATTAGTTGGGGTGAATTCATCAGATCTTTTGCAATATATTTAATTTCTCCATATATATAACTGATCTCTGTGGAGACAGCTGCCTCTCCAAACCCTTTGGTTGATTAATTATAAAATAATGTGATTAATAGCTATTGCAGTTGACATCATTAAATAATTGAAACTAACATAAACACTAATTATATAATTGAACTTATAACATAGGTATAAATACACATAATGAATAGTTGAATACATAATAAGTTACATATGAATTGGGAAGTTGGTTATGTCCCATTTCAGGGTCAATTTTTGTGAAAATGACAATTGACTTTCGTTAATTATTTTATAAGGGCATGAATTTTATAACTTTATTATTCTTACATATGATTCATATTATACGCATAATTTACTTATTATTCTTTAGTGTATATATATCAAGTTAGTTCTGTTTCACATCTAAGTAAGTGTAGAGATAATTAAATGATAAAACACTATAAACATTATTTATTACTTACTAATGATTTATTAACATAAAAGTTTGTTTCAAAATATACCTATGATTTTCTTTTTGACAAAAGAAATATTTGGTAACTGATTCATCGAAATAGTGATGAAAAGAGATAATTGAATAGCCAAAATATATTGCAACAGGTTACAAGATAATTGAAGAAACTAACTAATCAAAGATACTAAATATCCCTAGTTATCTCCTAAATAATGCACAAGATAAATTACACACGTATATATAGGGAGATGGATCCAATGAGACCATTTAAAATGAGTACATAAGATTCAATCTTAGTCACTCATCTTGTCTAGATCAAGGATTTATGTTAATTAAATAATAAAAATAATTATTAGTTGATTCCGGCGTTGACCGTTCACTTCCGGCGTTGACCCGTTGACCTTAGTATGCATCATGTATGAAAGAATAATTAGAGACAACTAACCTAGCAACAACAGACAACTATCCTAGCAACTAGACATAACTAACCTAGCAACTTCACACAACTAACCTTGCAACTACATTCAACTGACCTAGCAACTACATTTAACTAACCTAGCAACAACAGGCGGTGGCTCCCCCACCGCCTGTTCGGCCCCCTCGGCCCAGAACTGTTGTTTGGCTTTGACCTGACTCTCCGTGGGTCAAGCTGAACACTGATGGCTCTTTTGATCGCCATACCGGAGTTGCCGGAGGAGGAGGCTTGATCCGGGACCATAGCGGCGCTCTCATCACCGTCTTCCACGCGCCCCTTCAGGCCTCCTCGAGCTACGACGCAGAGATTTAGGCATTACAGATCGGCCTTCAGATTGTTGTCCACCTTTCTAGTTATATTTGAATCGAGCTGGACGCTGCGGCTGTCGCCACCCTC